GGTCCTAGAGCAGATCAAGCCGGAAACCTCCCTGGAAGCCAAGATGATAAGACTTTTTAGACTGTTGTACTTTGGATACATCATGAGAAGGGAGGACTCTTTGGAAAAAACAATAATGCTGGGGAAGGTGGAGGGAAGTAGGAAAAGAGGAAGGCCACATGCTAGATGGGTGGACTCTATTATGGAGGTCATGGGTATAAAGGGGCTGCAGGATTTAAGCAGAGCAATGGAGGACAGAGGGTCTTGGAGATGTCTCATCCATAGGGTCGCCATGAGTCAAGATCGACTCGAGGGCAGTTAACAACAAAACTTTGAAATGGCCTGTTGTTGTTATTGGTTATTGTTGTTGTGTTTTTAAGTCCTTTCCAACTTATGGCAACCCTAAGGTTAACCTATCAAAAGGTTTTCTTGGCAAGATATGTTCAGAGAGGGTTTACCCTTACTCTTCTCTGAGGCTGAGCAAGTGTCACTTGCCCAAGATTACCCAGTAGGCTTCTATGGCTGAGTGTGGACCTGAATCCTGGTTTCCTAGACCTCTAGTCCCTTGCTCAAACCATTGCAACACACTGGCTCTCCCTTTCCTTGTACTGATTGGAAAGCTTGGAAACAATAAGTCCAAGGGATAGAGGCAGTTATGATGAATGTATGGAAATACAATATACATATACTTCCATGGAAGGAGGAAAGTTAGAATAAATATAGCTTCTTTAAACTAGGAAGAAGGCAAAAAATATGTGACCAGAACTGGAAACATGGGAGGATCAACTGAAAAGTAAATACTCTGAAAGATGAAAGGCTGGGTGATTCATAGGCACTCTGGGGAAAATTACAGACAAAAGTTGTATTGCAATATGCTGACGTTATTTTAAAATTTAAGGTTGTTTTTCACTTGCATTTGCACTGAATATTTTCCCTGGATCCCCTACTCTTCCCTCTCACAAAATTGCATCAAAAGGCCACTAAAGAAAGGAGGGCATCTCCTGGGTAAGGAAAAATAAATAAATCAAAAATCAGAAACTAAAGAATAGGGTTGCCAAAGTATTGTTCATCCTCTTCCTCTTCCTTCTATTCATTTATATACTGCCTTTCTCCCCAGTAATGAGACTAAAGGCAGCTTTTAAATTATTAAAATGAGTACCAATTAAAAAAACATCAAGATGAGATTTATTTTAAAAGCAATTAAACAATCTATAGAATTAAAACTATTTAAAGTTCATTAAAACATACTATTAAAAATAAACAAAATAGCACACCACACAATTAAATGCACATAACAGTCAATTCCTAAAAACCTGAAGGACTAGGAAAGTTTTTACTTACTGGTGGAGGGAGAACAAGGAGAGAGCCATAGAGCTCCCTTAGGACCACATCGCATGCCCTAAAGAGGCATTTTACTTCTTCCAGCTTCAATCATTGATCGGGGATACAGCCAGATGTTAGCAGACATAATTCACTGCCGATTCTGCTGCGATGCCACCAGCCGAGTGCAGTCCGGGTCCAGGGACCACTCAGCCAGCCAATTTGTAAAGTCCAAAAACTTTTTCCAAAGAAGTGCCAGCTGAGTGCAGCTTCGAGCCGGGCTGCATTCGGCTGGTGGCATCGCAGCAGAATCAGCGGTGAATTATGTCTGCTAACATCTGGCTGTATCCCCGATCAATGATTGAAGCTGGAAGAGCTAAAACGTTTCTTTAGGATGTGCAATAAGCTCCTTAGTCTGGAAAATCAGTTTGAAAAGGGATTTTGTAGCACCTTTGATACTAACTGAAAAACAGAAGTTGGTAGCATAAGCTTTTGTAGATTTGAGCCTATTTCCTCAGATGCTAGGGAGGGAGTTCCAAAGTCTGGGAGCAGCCACTGAGAAAGACCTCTCTCTTGTTCCACTAAATGAACTTGAGATGGTAGCCTTTGTGCCTGTAAATTTAGCAGCAATTTTGAGTTTGTAGCAGATAGTGTG